GCCTTTCCTGGATCTCACTCTGTAGACCAGGCTGGCCTCGAACTCACAAAGATCCGCCTGGCTCTGCCTCCCGAGTGCTGGGATTAAAGGCATGCACCACCACCACCCTCACTTTTTATTTTGAGGCAGGATTTCACTAAGTTGCCCAAGTTGACCTTGAACTCACTCACTCTGTAGCCTAGGCTGCCTTGATTTTTTTTTTTTTTAATTTTTTTGTTCAGTTTTTTTTTTTTTGAGATTTTAATTTAATTACCATGTTTCTCCCTTCCCTTTCCACCCTCTAAACCTCCCATATCTCCCTCCCAGCTCTCCTTCAAATTCATGGCCTCTCTTCATTAGTTGTTACTACATACATATTTGTATATGCATATATATGCTAAATATAACCCATTGAATCTATATAATGTTACTTGCATGTATGTTTTCAGGGCTGACCATTGGACAACCAATTGGTGTGCTCTTCCCTAGGGAGGATCACCTCCCCACTCCTGGCTTCCCTCTGTTGCCTGTAGTTCTTTGTGTAGGGTTGAGGCCTCGGTGGGCTTTTCCCCATCCAGGTTGTAATGCTCATTGATGTCTTCCTTGTTCAGCCTGTGTTTGGGCGGTCGGTCATGTTGATGAGGTTTTATGGGTGTAATTTCTGATGTTGTTAGGAGACACAGTCTTAGAGCAAAGTCCCTGATCCTTTGGCTCTTACAGTCTTTCTGCCCCCTCTTCCGCGATGTTCCCTGAGCCATAGGTACAGCAGTGTTTTGTAGATGTATCCATTGAGTCGGGCTCCACCGCTCTGCATTTTGATGGGTTGTGGTTTTCTGTAGTGGTCTCAGTCTGCTTCAAAGAGAAGTTTCCCTGATAAAGGGTAGAGGACTCTTGACTGTGGGGATAAAGACAAATGGTTAAAGGTTGTTGTGACAGAGATTGTGCTGGTTTGGTAAATTAGTGGTTGCCAATCTCCTCCAATAGCAATAGGTTCATTAACACTGAGTAGTTGGCCAAGTCACCAGTGCCAGGCGTGATATCCCTCTTGTTAAGTCAGTCTTAAGACCAATTAGCGAGCTAATGGTTATCACCAAGGTACGTACGCCACGACTGCACGGGGTTATTGTGCCGTGGTAGTCGTTGAGGTGGTTCATAAGTGCCGTAGCTGGATAGGACACTTGGTTGCCTTAAGCGCTCGCTCTCTCTCTCTCTCTCTCTCTCTCTCTCTCTCTCTCTCTCTCTCTGATGTATGCAGGTGTCCACAGAGGCCTGATCTCTTGGAGCTAGAGTCACAGGCTATTGTGAGCCACCAAAGTGGGTACTGGGGATGGGGGGGGGGGGGCGCGGTGAGGCCGCAGCTGGAAAGATGGCTCAGCAGTTAAGAGCACTAGGTGCTCTTCCAGAGGACCCAGGTTCAATTCCCGGCACCCACATGGCAGCTCACAACTGTCTGTAACTCCAGTTCCAGGGGATCTGACACCTTCACACCAATGCACGTAAAATAAATTTTAAAAAATAATAAAATAAAAACTTTTTTTGAAAAGTGGGTACTGGGAATAGAACTCAGATCCACTTGAAGAGAGCACACATTCTTAACCCCTGAACCATCTCTCCTGACCAAGGTCTTGAACTTTTGATCCTCCTGGCTTATAGCAAAGATCAAAGGACTATGCTGCCAGTTTGTTTAGAACAGCCTGTTAAGAGGCTAAGCTGAAAACAAAGGCAATAATATGCAAGTCAGAGCCTTGCTACAAATATGACCTGGGGTGATATTGTAAAGTCTCTAACACAGGTCCTCCTTAATTTTAAGTGATGGGTCATAGTTTCACTACAAGACCCTCCCGCATCCTCTTAATCTCTCTCACTAACAAAATGACCTGCTCCACGGGTTTCTCTGATGGAAATACACGGAATGTACGTGTCATTTGTAATAACAAGTGTGTTTACAACCAAAGAGAATAACAGAGGCCTCACATGGGGGTCAATGTCCTGATACACTGTATTCAAACTTGCTCATTATGAGTTTTAAACCAAAAGAGTTCAGATAGCAAATTGTTTTTATGTTAAGCCGAAAAGAATAAAAGGTTTTGCAAACCTGAGGGGCTGTTGGAGCCCATTTAGGCTGTACCCAGCAGGACTGCGTAAGAGGATGGTTGGACCACGGGCCTGGGTACCAGGTGTTTGGAAGGGTCTGCATTTGGCTGTATCTAGCAAGGGGGAGGTCTTTTGCCCCTCCCCTTGGCATTGTTATAAAAAGTCCTTTGGACTAAAGTTCTGGACTGATGGATAAGGATTCAGGCCCACCCGAGGCTATCCTGTGTTCTCTTTTTCTCTCCCCTCTTTATTTCTATCTAAGTCTCTTATCCCTCACTCCTCAAGAGTCCCTGGGCTAAATAAATGTGGGGGCTGGTCCCCTACAGGGAGGGGGGGGGAGGCTAAGCTGGACATGATGGCCTGTCCCAGTGCGAAGGCAGGGGCAGGAAGATCTCTGTGAGTTCGAGTCCAGCCTAGTCTATGTAAGGTGTCACAGGCCAACCAACAGAATACAAGTTTTAAACCTGGCACCTGTCCCCCAGTGTGAAGATGAGTACTTCGTGTGGTGGGGTAATCTGGAGGGGGAGTATCATGCTGGACCCTGGAGGAAGAGGGGGACAAGAGGCGGGGCATTCTCAGAGCTCAGAGAGTACCTTATGGCTTCATTTCAGACTCTGCAGGGAGAAGCAGTACGTGCCAAGATGGGGTGTCCAAAAGGCTAGTGCTCTGGGAGGTGGGGCAAACAGTACAGAAAGCGGGAGAGCATGGGACCCA